GTACACTGATATATCTCTGAGAAAGTTAATATTTCAATAATTTAACAACCCATTCCCTTTATTTATACACTAACTGCGGTTACTGAAACCACGCCTTCTTTCTTTGCGTGCACATTTGGGCGGCATTATGCAAATATTTTCCACATAGTGAGGTAGATATTTGGAGGCGTGTTAGAACGAGCCGTTTTAGGGGGGTGTGGCAGAGTCTTAACTTTGATAAAGAATATCTCTTTGGTTTTGAAACTTTAGTCTTTGCAACTTCAGGGATCTTATCTATGCACAATCAGCTTGTAACACTCCAAAGAGAAAGGAAAACTTGAAATTGCATCATATGACCCCTTTAAGATGGAAAAAGATTGACGTATCTGAGTGGACTAAATGTTTTGATTGTGCCTGGTCGAGATGGTCCTCACTGCAGAAGGGGCTACTGGCCTGGTCGGCTAATGTTTACACTTTTGGGGGAGATGAATTCATGAATGGCAAACTTATAACTGTCAATGAACAATATACTGGGTAAGAGAATGAAAATGTAGAAAAAATTTAGTTTTCTTCCTTGTCATGTTTCTTTTGTCTTCCTTTTCTCACTCATGCGGGTTCTTTATTAGGGGTGTAACAATATACTGTGTCACAATATAATAAAATAAAATTCCTGTATCATAAATCATTTTTATGATGTAACTTTTGGCTAAATAAGTGATCACAAAAAATCACCCTGACTAACATTCAGACAAGAGATGACTGTGAATTTGAGGTTTTAACTGAAAAGGCATATGACAAGTCTGGACATGTTATATGTTTCAATTTTTATAATTAAGCAAGTATCATAGCAAGTGTAACTGAGAATATCAGGCTGTCTGCTAATAGTAATACTATTAGCACTATGTACGGTATTACTATGAATAATGTTAATGCGGTATTACTTTGAATGCTGTATTACTTTTATGAATGCGGTATTACTTTTACACAACAGTTCAATAAACAAGACATTAATACTAAGTAACTTATATTAACCACCTCTTCTCCGAGCAAGACACAAGTAGTGGTGTTTCATTCCTGAATGAATCAATGTGGCTGAATCAGTGAATCACTTATATTAAGACAGTCACTTATCGCCACATACAGGCCAAACGATACAACCTGCAGACAGGCTTCCTGTATTTCATGATCATTTAGCCATGTTGTGGAACTTTTTACCTAGTACAATTCTTCTCAAATCAATGTCATTAAACACTAGATTGTGACAACTTGCCACTTACGGAGTGACAACAATGGGTTAATGTGAGTTCAGTGAACTGTATTTTTATTTTAGTCGCACTCTAACAGCACGTATGTCCTCTAGTGGTGACTGTTTGGCTCTTTTCATTAACTGCAATGTGGAAAGTGACCAGCAGATGATGCAAGTTAATAAAGTGAGTAAATGTGCAAACCAATGAAACGTGCTTTCACTCTTAGGCCCAATAAACATAAAATCACTCATTCAAAAAGATACACTCTTTGCCTTACTTTTTATTGTAAGTGTAGGTGGTTTTGAAATTAGAAGTCACAGTATTTTTTAAGATGATCTATTTAAGGAAAAATATCAAATTTTGTCTTAAAAACATACAAGATACAAAGTAAGTCAATTTCTATATAGACTATTTTTATTTATATATATATATATATATATATATATATATATATATAAGCATTGTGTGTCTATATAGAAATGGACTTACTTTGTATCTTGTATGTTTTTAAGACAAAATTTGATATTTTTCCTTAAATAGATCATCTTAAAAAATACTGTGACTTCTAATTTCAAAACCACCTACACTTACAATAAAAAGTAAGGCAAAGAGTGTATCTTTTTGAATGAGTGATTTTATGTTTATTGGGCCTAAGAGTGAAAGCACGTTTCATTGGTTTGCACATTTACTCACTTTATTAACTTGCATCATCTGCTGGTCACTTTCCACATTGCAGTTAATGAAAAGAGCCAAACAGTCACCACTAGAGGACATACGTGCTGTTAGAGTGCGACTAAACATAGTGGTATTTGGTGATTTAAACATATTATAAACACAAATAGTGGATATCCATAATACTTACCAGTTACATGAATAATTATGGATTACATACATTTAAAAAAAATCAAATTAACACTTGAATATTTAATACTTTGGCAGTCACAGCACAATCTGAATTAGAATTGTTCAATAACTTGTCTTTTATCAATACCTGCAAGCATGAAAATACAGAAGTAGATCAATTAATAAACAATAAGATCGTATGATTTTCTTGTTGATTGACTGAACGTTGTTTTTAATAGCTCATATGGATATTCCGCATTGGCTTGATCTTCTTCCTCTGCAGGGCAGGCCATGCTGACATGTTCTTTGTTATGGCAGACTTTAAAGGAGATGTTCATCCAACCCATGACCTTCGCCAGCATCTCCATGTCTTCATTTATCACATCACAATGACCCAGCACAGCCTGCTTCCAGATCTCCCCCGAGTTACACAGCTGGAAACACATGCACATCGACAGATTAACAATACATATCATACTCTATCATTTCTGTAGGCCAAATAATGCCGGACTAGTTACAACCTAAAATTCACTTTAAAGGTTAAAGGTTAGTTTATGAGCAATAGTGATGCTTTCCTTTGCTGCAACCACTACTAGTAAATCACTACATTCTTACAATGCTTTTGAAACATCAGTTACATATGATCTGATTGACATGCAACCTTAATTTCGCTCTAGAAGCAAGAGGAGAAAGGGACAGGGTATTGTTCTAACCTTCCTAAACCTGCTTGAGGTTTGTCCTGTAAGGATATGTAGGAAAGGATTTTAAGGAGCAGCTTGTCTCTCGACACAGAGCCAAACTGTACTCCAGAATCCTGGAGCCAAACCCTGCACTGTAAAAACCGATTGTGATTTTAACAGTAAAAGACTGTAAAAATGCTACAGTAAAAACCTGTTAACTGGTTAACAGTAAGTTTCCATACGGTGAATCAATTTAATTACATTTAATGTAATTTTACAGTAAAATACTGTAAAAAAAAGAAAAAGGAATTGTATAATTTACAGTGAAAAACCGTAAATTGACACTCCCAGAATTCCCTGCATGACACTTCATATTTTATGTTTGTTTTTTTTGTTGAAATAACATGTTTCTTCTTCGTTTTTTCTTATTAGATGTGTACATTAGGGTTTAATCTTACATCTAATGTTGTTAAATGAATGTTTATTGCATTATTTCAGTTTCATGTGTGTCACCATGATGGCGTTTAGTGTTTGTGTGAATGACACTGTGTGCACCTTCTATATATAAGAACTACCCTCCGCAGCTCGTAGAAAAGCTGTTTTTGATGAGCTTTGGTTCATCGTGTGACTTTCTCATCACCACCTGCTTTTGGTGGTTATCAGTGCATTACAATGGTTCAAAACAGATATTAACACTTCAATATGTTGGTTTATTAACATTACATCAGTTAATGAAATATGGTATTTTATTGTGAATTTCCGTTTAATCTGTAAAACCTAAAATGTTGCTACCATATTTTTTACGGTGAAGTTCTGGCAACCACAGCTTGCCGGTATTTTACCGTAAATGCCACAGATTTTTTTTTTTACAGTGTGCAGCTAGCTGCTCTGCAATCATGAATGACATTCACATATATATCATGATGATGTTCATGATTAAATATGGTATTTTATTGTGAATTTCAGTTTAATCTGTAAAACCTAAAATGTTGCTACCATATTTTTTACGGTGAAGTTCTGGCAACCACAGCTTGCCGGTATTTTACCGTAAATGCCACAGATTTTTTTTTTTTACAGTGTGCAGCTAGCTGCTCTGCAATCATGAATGACATTCACATATATATCATGATGATGTTCATGATTTCACCTCAAATCACATAACGGAAGCTGGATCTTTACACTGCAACCTTGAATCATTCAAGAAGTCATTGTGGAACTGTTTTATCTCTCCAGGTGGTGCCCCTCTGAGTTCAGTTCGAACTGAAATCTCCCACCACCTCCATATAATCTGTTGGTAATAAAGAGTTATGCCTAACATGACTCACAAAAATTCTTGCTATGACCATAAAACATTTATAAACACTTGTTATTTTTGGTATGTTATTATGACTGATGACAAGATATTTAACATCATTATCAATTTTGCTGATCGGATAGGCCTATGAGAGACAATATATATATCCTCTGAGTTCAGTTCGAACTGAAATCTCCCACCACCTCCATATAATCTGTTGGTAATAAAGAGTTATGCCTAACATGACTCACAAAAATTCTTGCTATGACCATAAAACATTTATAAACACTTGTTATTTTTGGTATGCTATTATGACTGATGACAAGATATTTAACATCATTATCAATTTTGCTGATCGGATAGGCCTATGAGAGACAATATATATATTTTTTGCAATGCAGGTAAATGCAAAAATGTACCACCACATTCAAATATTTGTCCCTTACAGTGATTACAGAGGAATCATCATTTCATGTACTTCTAAAAGCCTCCTTTTGTGTGATAACACACTGGTAGAAGTCTTTAGTGGGGGATGGATTCAAAAGTATCTCACTCAGCAGGGACGCCATATTTGGACGCTATGTGGTTACCACGACAACAGACACACCAAAATGATCTCGTTCCCTACAGATATCGATTTTTATGTAATCACACGTCTTGTGTGAAACACGTACGATAAACAGTCTAAAATAATAATTAAAAAGTTGACATAAAATTATGTGAGGGTGAACGGGTTTTTTAAGAAAGGGGGGGGGGGGGGGGGGCAGAGCCTGGCGGGTTGATATTATGAAATTCTGACGTACTTTGCTGATGCACTAGTGATGTATTCATTAAAGCACGGGGTTAATGATGAAACGACCCGTATTAAGTAACTCCAGTGAGCGTTATCATCGTCGACAAGGTGGCTGGTAAGGCTTTCCCGCGCCGGTTGTTGTCGTAATCCTTGTTCTTTAGTGTAGGAAGTAGTGCGTGGCGGAAGCACGGAGCGCTGTGGGAGCGGAGGTGATGCGGCAGTTCGCAGGTCGCTCAGCTGATGAAGGTAAAGCTGCTGCTGCTGCACTGTCTAACAGCTACTACAACACTGGAACAAATAGGTAATTACAACAACACCAACATATGCACATATATATTTAACGTCAGTTTCCGGGAATCGGCTTGCATCGCGTCGGAGCCCTTCGTGTGAATCAGGAGTCGTGTAACACGAGTGAGAAAAGCCAGACGAAACAAAAAAAATGGTTTCCAGTTGTCATCCCTCGAGCCCTTTTCCTGTTTCTGTGTTGTGTAGTAGTTTTATATATTTAAGGAAGACACTTTGTTGGCATTGATGTGATGGTAGATACAAGAAACCACTCGAATCCTTTATTAATAACGTTTGTGAGGCATCAAAAGGGAATTGAGACTCTACAAATATAACGTTACAGGAATTATAACCATTAATACCGAGAGATCAGCATCGAAGTAGTACAACGTGTAAGACCACTCGTTTTCTGCTAGCTATTTATTGGATAGGCCAATTTAGAGATGAGCTAAATATGATTAATAATACGATGGCCCACGAACTAGAAGCAAACGAGAAACGAATACAAGTTTCCTTCTTTATTTGTTGGTAATGGCACGAAGTGTCTGGTTAAAATGGAGGAAGTTTGCATCCATCGCTAGTGATGCTTTTCCTGCGGTCTCCAGTCGTGTTGAGGTGAGATGTTGATTAGTGTAGTTCGCTGGTGCTAGTAGTTTGTTTACGTCTTCAGTCACTTTGACCTGATCTTGGCCGCATACACGTCGACAGGAGACCGGCTTTGCTCTTTAGCTTTACCACATGTAGGCCAAATACTGACAACAACGGTACAATCTTGATCTTTTTAGTACTATTGTGTTGATTGTTCACATGATACGGTGTTTTGTCTTTGCTGTTGTAATTAATAGCGGTTGTTTGTTGATAATCGCTTGTCACGCTTCGTCCCTTCAGCAGATTAGCATCGGTTAGCCGTGCTAACACCAATAACAGCTTAAGACAAAACTGGGCGATTTTTCTTAGTCGGCGCTTGAAACTATTCAAGGCTGCCTGCCAGTTTTAAAGGCGTTGTTAATTTGAGTAACTAAGGTGCCCTGCTGTTTTCGAGTGTTTTGTTGAACTTAGCATGGCTAGCATTAGCTGGTTCTGACTATCACTTTGACTCGGCGAACTTCACTTTGGATCGCTCTTCATCGCGTGTTGTCTCCTGTGGTGCTTTGCAACAACTGTGGCGACGTAGTTTTGAACGTGTATGCGTTTTTATAGCTGATTTGAATGAGGAAAGCTACTATGCACAGTGCCACAATAACGCGAGACCGGTGTGTGAGGCCTCGGGAGCGTGGAGACCAACCGATCTGGCTGTATTTTGTTTATTTGTATCGAGCGTGACGTTAACGTACTCGTTCGTGTGATTTGCTCGCGTTGGGTCAGTAAGCGGGTCGCGGCTGATTGGAGTTTGTTTCGTGGACTGGGCAAAATAAACAAAAGGATCGGCTCAGGCCTGTTCTGAGAAACGGCCTTCATAATCATGTCGTATTTTCATGTCGGGAGTCCAAACACACACACACCAGCACAAAGCTGCGCTTGAGTGGATCTAATGTTGGGTTTGTATTATGTTTATGGTCGTTTGAAGGAATTCAACTCGATGTAAGTTCACCCTCTCTTCAGGGAAGTAACGTTAGAAGTCTGTGTGCACAGGGTATTTTTGACATGTTTGGGGCAGTTCGTTGAGTGTTATGAGGCGTTATGGTCGAAATGAACGCTTCTCTTGTTCGGTTCTGTAAAGGCGGACGTAACGTTACACGGTGCGATTCTTGCTGTCGTAAGAGCTCGCAGGCGATTTTTTTCTGTCGGGAGAAAATCGCAGATGCTCGCGGTTCGTACCGTGTGAGAAGAATTACGGGCCGATCCGAGACGTTACGAGCCCCTCCCGATAATTTTCAAACTTGTCAAAAAAAAATCGGATGCTGTCTGTTTAAATTCGTGGCGTATGTGCGGTTGAACGAGACGATTTGGCGAGCCGTCTGAAGTTGACCAATCAGAAGATGACAAAAACCATATTCTATAATCATTTTAGTTTAATTATACAGTTCTATTTTTTTAATTTATTCCGAATGTGCCAAATTTGCCGTTCAGCGTTATGAATGAATATGCCTGTTGTATTTCCGGCAGAAATTCAGAAATGGCCTACTCCCTCAATTTCAATTTATTTTTATTTCGAACTATTAAAAATACAAAAGGAAAAAAAAAAAACACATAATACATACCAATAATTAAAAAAAATCTACAAATATAAATTATGATTATTATTATTTTTGACATATATTCAACCTGTTCGAAATAAAAAAAGGGTAGGTAGAAGTCCTAGGCTTATTAAATCCTACCCTCAGTAATTACCAATACCAAATCACAATCAGCCATAATAAATCAGACATACCATTTTGAATAATACAAAAATACTAGTCCAAATTACGTCCTACTTTATCTATCTGTTAAGATAAAGAAGACAAACAGAAACAAAATCAAGCAGCATTAACAACAAGGTTGAAATTCTCACCCTCACCCCCCCACTTCTGTATTTATCAAAAATAAATCTTTTATACCTACTTTTAAATTGCAACATATTAACACTTTCTTTGATATATCCGTTTAATCTATTCCACAATATCACCCCACAAATCGAAATACACATACTTTTGAGTTTTGTCCGTGCATTTTGCTGTCTCGCATTTAAAGCCCCTCTCAAAGTCCCTCGAGTTCTTTATGAAGAACAGAAAGTCCATGCTTTTCTCTGCTTTTCAACCATTCTCTTAGCCTTGTCCTTTCTCTTCGTGTTTTTTTTTTGGACGTCACAAGCCACCTGCCACAAAGAAAACTATTTCGTCCTCAGAATCCATATTTTTATGAATGGCGCGAAACGTAATGCTTACGTTAGAGTTTGTAAATTCGTGTCGTGTGTGACTGCCTCCGTACGATTTTCGGATAAACTCAATCGTGACATGTGCTAGAGCTCACGACCTTCCGACCTTCAGAATCGCACCGTGTACGCCCGCCTTTAATGTTTGGGTTTGGAATCGTAGATTTGACGTCTAGTAGTTTGAACGTCGTGGACATTGCTTAGTTTGCTGAAGTAGCGTTTAATGGTGGTGTCGTTGAGAGGAGGAAGGCCTGTCGGCTCGTTTGAACATAAATATTCCTTAGCTACATCCTCACTTTTAAACTGAATTTTGTTTCTTAACGGCTGTCTTTCAAAACCTCGCGAGCTGACGACCTAGACATTATTTTTATGCTTCACGGTCACGTTTCGGACATTCAGTTAGTCTGTTTGTGTATGCATTGTATGTGCATATGTTCACTCGTAAAATGTTGTTAATATGGATATAAATTCTCGGTTTATAGTGACATTGACGTAGTCTTGAATGAAAACCGCAACAACAAAGCTCTTATCTCCTCATATGTAATACAAAAGCATCATACTTAATGTGTTATTTACAATAACCGAATAGTGAATGTGTTCATATAAAAGAAGTGAGTTGAAGGGGCAAAATTAGTAATGCTTTAAATAAGCTAAGTTTATTAAGTTAAAATGTGTTCTAGCCATGTCTATGTAGCTGAATGTGGTCTCTTTTTATAATCTTTAAAGTCGTCTAGAGGTATAGCATAACTAAGTCTACTCAACGTTTCTAATTATATTTTCATTTGAGACTAGTTCTTTGTCTTTGTAAAATGTCTTGCATATTGTCAGTGAATGACATATGGCATTGATTTTGACTATATTACTGAACAAAATGGCTGCCAGCTTTGTCTGCAGTTGTAATTTAATTCATCTATGATTTTACGTTGTCATCATTAAATGGAATAACACATTTGACTAAAATCACCTTTTTTTTTTTACCCTTTCACCCCTCCTTCCTTCCCCCATTATTGTCCCCCTTGTCGCCCTAGGCTGCTGGTTGGGGCATTTGCACACGGCTGGTAAGTTCGCATAGTGTTTGCCGTTCCCTTCATGCTGTCAAGGTGGGTCCAGTGAGGGGACAGGTGTGGAGGAGATGGGGGTTAAACAGGAAATTGACAATCTTGGTTTGGCAGTCAAGTTTCTTGAAATCCAGAATATATGGCTTGTGAAGGTGAAGCTGTTTTTTTTTTTACGTTATTCAGATTCTTTGTTTTAAGTGTGCAGCACTTAGATTTGGTAAATGTGGAAAAACTTTGGTAGTTCAGTATGAAGATGAGCAAGCTTGCTGTGAAGAAAGTGGTAGTTCTAACTGTGTTAATGGTCAATTGACTTAAAAAAAGCAACATAATCTAGGCAATTACCTTTTTTAAATAGATTGTTGTGTTTTTGGCAATTTGGTAATTGAGTTACTAGTAAAGTCAGCATGAAATTAAAATGGACCCTATTTCCTTAATACAGTTCCTGGTTTTGTGTAAGGAAACTGATTCATCAGAGCACATTTGAGCCTTTTTTCTTTCATCAGAATGTGATGACTTGCTGCACCTCTGAAACAGAGTTTCCTTATTTTTCAAACCCTCTAATCCACTGGTTCTCAATTCCAGTCCTGGGGACCTAGGGCTGCACGATTAATCGAATGCGATTGTCATGCTCACTTTGTTAGTAAAGCCGTTTCTGTAATCAGCAGGAAATCATCATCACGTGCTTTCAGATGGAGCAGGATTTACTACACATAACCATAGTTCACTGACAAGTTACGCAAAAGTTGCGCGATTCTGAAATCGAAGAAATCGTTCGCGATAATGACAGCTGTTTGCATAGCTTCTCAGTGAACTACGGCTCTGTGAAGTAAATGCTGCTCCATCTGAAAGCAAGTGAAAATACCACATTTAATAACATATTTTTACTCCAAACTCACTTCATAACGTCAGTTGAGTGTTTGAAATAAATCCTTCTGTGAGATGATGTGGCTTATTACACAGAATAAGGCACGCAACATATTTCATAGTATTTAAGCAGTGATAAAGGCATTGCATTATAAATACACTTTATTTTAATGAAAATTATAATAATAAGAACTCCGATAAACCGTATATTGCCGTAGTCGTGTGTTTATTAGTCACGTTGAATCAATGAAAGCAGTTGAATCTTATTTATTCAGCTGCAGGATAGGCATTTTCTGGGTTTCTTCTGCGAGGCGTATTTGGAGTTTCAGCGCGAGAGCGCCCTCTGGCCTTTGGATGGAGATTTACTGCTGATCATAGAACCGTGCTTCACTGAAAGATAAGCATTACAGTCGCAGCTTCTGTCGAATCACGATCTCGATTCCATTTCGATTTATCGTGCAGCCCTATGGGGACCCCCCTACATTTTGCATGTCTCCCTTATTGAACACACCTGATTTAGATTATCAGCTCATTAGGAGAGAGATCCATGAACTGAACTGAGTGTGTCTGATAAGATAGACATACAATATGTGCAGAGCAGTGGGTCCCGAGGATTGGAATTGAGAACCACTGCTCTAATCTAATCAGCTGTCCATAGAGACAAATTTTCATGATCCAATCAATTCCTGATGGATGGATAAATAGAAAAGGTGTATATGAAAAGAAAAAGTATTTATTCATTTTGGACTCTTCGAATGACAGTACAGTCTCTCCTGTATTACAGAGTTGCTCTTGCTTCTTTATTCTTTCTTTCAGCAGGCCTCAGGACCAGTTTTATTTTTCTTGATTATTTGATTTGGGCTGTGGAGCTGATCCTGTGTCGGTTATGACAGGGGTAAAGTAATTAAAGCCATTTGTTTCTCCTCCCAGCATGGAGTCGGTGGCAATTGTAGGAACCGGCATCTTTAAGACTACTGAATATTTAGATTAACTTAGTGTGTTTGAATAACAGTAGCCTGTTCAGACAGTTTTCCCCTATTTTTTAAATAATGGGACTAACATTAGATAGATAGATAATTATAAAATGGTACAGGAAGCCAAAAAATTGAAATCGTGAACCGCATGAATTGGTTTATTTGTTAGTGATCGTTACATGTTTTTTTTTAAACCTGTGGGCTGTTCTGTTCTTCAACATGATTGTGTAATAGCATAAACAGTTTGGTTTTTGGGAAAGTTAAGTTGAGTTTCTTAGCCTATTCATAGTTTTCACGTGATGTCACATCCTTACAGGAACACCCACATGGAGGGCAAACAAGGCTTTCCTCCACTGTCCGCCAGTTATTTTTATGAGGTTTGCATTAAGTAGTAATGTAGTAAGACAGTGATATTCAAAGGCCAAATTCAGTATACACCTTATTGATGATGCATACTTTGTACAGGCAAGCAGATGAACCCAGAATATAAACGCAATGTGCAAAGTTTAATATTAAATGTTTTCCCATTGAAAACCATTTAGCGCATTGCGTTCATATTCTGGGCTCATTTGCATGCCTGCATAAAGCACGCCTCATCAATAAGGTGTGTACTGAATTTGATCTTTTAATATCACTGAGTACGTTTACATGGATAACAATAATCCGATATTAACACGATTAAGACAATACTAGGGATGTAACGATTACTGGTTTGACGATAAATCATGATAAAATTCCCAACGGTTAGTATTACAGTTTCATATTTTAATTATCCTTAAAACCGTATTAGATTACCGTGATTTGAGCAACTCGTGATAAATAAATACTGTCCAGCATAAAGCACAGTTTTCAGTAACAGTCTCATGTGCGCACGGCACACAGAGTAGTTTCATTTTGAGTGAAAACAGGCCGGAAAAGCTGGGAGGTTTTAAAAGAGTGCTAAGGGAATTATACAAATGAATATATGAACAAATTAATTATATGAATGTTCCTCGGAAGGTTCTGACTGTCTTCAGAAACGATTCAATGGCATTTTGTTTTCATCTTCGCTCCGTGTAATACTTAAAGGAAGTGTTCTTAATCGCAATACTGCTTTGTCCACGGAGGTTATGGGGAAACGGCTTTTCCATAAGCTCCACCTGCTGTCAGCGAGTGGATTTACAGAGACTTATATTTACATTCAGCCTGTGTGGATTTTCTGTCTGGCCAAAAATGGACTGAATTTGTATGCCCTGCTGTAAATTGACTGGTTGATGAAAAACAAGCTTATGTGGATTCTACACATTTAAACAATTCAGATAAGTTACCTAGAATTATCTGCTCCATAAATAAAATACATAACATGCTATTAAACTGTTGTCAGTCAAGTTGTCATTTAAAATCCGAACATCATTGGTAATGTTATTGTTTTAGTGATTATGCAAGCAAACAAGTCATTTTTTTTGTTGTTTGTTGATTTTTAAATATAAAAAATATAAAATATAAATATAAAAGCAACTTATGTAAACACCTTAATCATAATATTGTCTTATTCAGAATAATCAGATAAGTTACCTAGAATTATCTGCTCCATAAATAAAATACATATAATCATTTATTAATCAATTATCATTTTGATTTATTTAAAGGCTGAAATGTGAGGTTTACCTTTTTATGAAACTTTTTCAAAGCTTTATTTGAACATTTACATGAGATATTTGAACATGCTGTTAAACTGTTGTCAGTCAAGTTGTCATTTGAAATCCGAACATCATTGGTAATGTTATTGTTTTAGTGATTATGCAAGCAAACAAGTCATTTTTTTTGTTGTTTGTTGATTTTTAAATATAAAAAATATAAAATATAAATATAAAAGCAACTTATGTAAACACCTTAATCATAATATTGTCTTATTCAGAATAAGGTAAATAATTAGATTACTGATGTCCATGTAAACATACTCATTGTTTTAAAGGCACTTTGTGTTTTCACATTAAAGGTTTTAGAATGTTTGTTTTTAGTGATTGAAGTATTGTGGCGGGTGCTTTATATCGATTGCTAATGGCCAAAACTTGCATTTTGTTCACATATCTTTGTTTTATTCTTTTGAGAAGTGATCTAAATATTGTTGGATTTGAACTAGGGATGGAACAGAAAAAAAATCAAACCGTACGGTTCTCCACACACGGTTCGGCACGTGCTAGGACCGCAGTTTAACTTCAATCTGACAACGCATCTGTGATATGGTTTGCTATAAATAACACTTAAAACAAACAAGGTTCGGCTAATATATGTTTCTGTTGATGGATGCGCATTCTGGCTTTCCAATACATTACTACAACAACAACAGAGATGAAAAAAAAAAACGTGGACAAAATATTTACTGTTGTTCAATGCGAGCTCCGTATGCTGGAATATGAGCATTATTCCGTCATCACCCGGGTGCTGATAGCGCACACGCACAGGTGAGATCTGAACAGAACACGTTGATATCTGTGTTTAAGCTAAACTCATTTACGCTTTGCCAGTTTAAACATTTAAGATCCAGAGGACGCGAGCTCACGCGCGCAGTGAGAAGATTTATGCGTGCGCTCATCCGAAGAGCGCAAACCCGCACCTCAGAGCGTGCAGATATTAAGCTCTCTCTGAAGTATTGTTTAAATGGACAAATTCACACAAAAATTGTCAAAATGCCCGTCTTGGTTAATATCCTATAGCAGACAGCCAGCTGCAGACGTACTGTATCAGTGCATTCTCTTAAAGTGACAGCACTTTCTTAATATTAATCAAACCGCAACAACAAAGAAATCACTCACTGCTCTTGATTGAATAGCTTTTGTAACTTTAATAAAGCTTAGTCTTTAATTTATACAGTCAAATATGCAATGCTGTTTTACATTTCATTACTTTATTCAATTTCTGTACCTAAAAACTAATGTTAGACCTACCAAAAAAAAAAAAAACTGAATATCACGGTTTATTTTATTTGTATCTTTACTCTATTTTATTTATTTGTGCTGTTGCTTGTAGTTAGATTATTCTTATTTTCTTTATTTTTATTTGACAGTATAGTTTTTGCCTAAACATTGCACATACCGAAACCGTGCCTCTTAAACCGTGACACAAACTGAACCGTTCCACCCCTAATTGGAACGGATAGAAAATTGACGGGCTTGTGCTGCA